GGAACATAAATTGGCCCCCCGGAAAGGGGGACCCCCCCCCCCTCCCGGGGGGAAGGGGTTTCCTCCTTGGGGTTCTTAAATTTTTTTTTTTCCTTTCGGCCTTCGACCCCCCCCCCCCCCCCCCCCCGTCAGAACTCGTTGACATTGGCGGGTGACGAGGAGAATTGTTAAATTCTATGGTAAAAGGCATGGTTGGGATCCGCCGATTTCCCTCATAGTAAAACTTACCCCGAGACTACCGTGAAAAGATAGACCGTGATACAACATCCCGTAACACTGACCCGCTTTCTTCAAGACTTGGCGCACACGTTTCTCGGTGCTTAGGCTGTATATTTTAGGACGAGACATGAAGATGTGGCTCTTCATCCTCAGAGATGCTGAACGAAAGGCACCTCTCGTCCGTGCGTGCCCCCACCAACGTCTACCACCGCTAACACTACCGCCGCAGGTGGTGCTGCCGATGCTGGTTGACGAGGTCGTGGACCCCGGGTGGCTCACGGAGAAGCAATTCTACCAAGGCTTTGCCCTCGTACAGGTGCTAAACATGTCTGTTGCCTATTGCACGTTGGGGGGGGGGGGAGGTACTCTTATGTTTTGCATGCCTTACAGGTTAGACCATTGGAGGTACACGTGCATATAGACTAGAAGGCTTAGTGGGGGGGGGGCGTACTCTTATGTTTTGCATGCCTTACCGATTAGACCATTGGGGAGTGGAGGGCGGTACTCATGTATTTGGGCTACAGTAGAAGGCTTAATGTAGCACCTCGTTTGGCGTCGGGGGGGCGATTATATTTAATCCATACACCGTTTTTCTGTCAGCGTTTTTTTGCCTTTGGGGTTGTGTTGCTTTATTGTTTCCCCCAACAGCAACGCTGAATGACGAGTGCTGTACACATCCGCCGTTTGATGGTGGTCAGCCGTTCTTCCTGTCGTGCTCCCAAACCTTACCATTGGCATGGCTGAACCGAATGAGTCGTTGTCAAGATGGCAATGTTGTTGTTGTTGGTGGTGGTGTCCACATTAAGAACGTCCTTCTTTCTGAGCCTTTTTAGTACCTCCTCTTTGACGGCATGGTGCTCGTAAGGATGCAAGGAGAAACATTTACCTGACAAGGCCGTGATAAGCACAAAGCAGTCGGTGTTTTCCCGAAGGTGATGTCTTGTTTATCTCTACTGTGCCGCTCATCGCGGGTGTACCAGGACGCCAAACACTTCCGTGACAAAAGCCACGAGACTAACGTAGTTGCCTACCATTAAAAGGGGCTTGTGTCTTGGGTCATCGTCTCCTCGTGTGCGCACACGTCAGGCGTTGCCAGGACCGCTGTTCAACCTGTCGGCCTACCTAGGAGCGGTGTACCGAGGAGTGCCGGGGGCGTTTGTCGGATGGTTGGGTCTCTTCGGCCCCGGAGTGTCGCTCATCTTCGGATTCCTCCCGTTCTGGGGAACGATCCGCAAAGTCGCTTGGTTCAAGGTGGGTGGGGTGATCCGCGGGGTCCCCATGGGTGATACTGTTAGCGCTGTCGATGGGTGTATGTTTGTAGCTCTCGGAGCCAATCGACGATGTTTGCAGCCGGGGTTGCTGTGGTTTCCGATCAACGCAAAGAGGACGTACTTAGCCTGGGCCGGCGAAAACCCGGCATATCGCTCCGTCTCGGTATTGTAGGGTTGCGAGATCAATGGTCTGACGCGTACGTCGTACACCCCCCCCACCCGCCTCTGACACTCTGTTCCGGGACGGTGCCGCTGCTCTTGACGTGTCCTCCATCAGATTTTCTTGCAGGGCGTCAACTCGACGGCGATAGGACTGGTGGTGGCGGCGTGTGTGTTGCTGTGGGGTGCCGCCATCGACTCTTACGCGGATGCGATCGTGGCGGTTGTAGCTGGCTGCATGCAGGTGAACTGCTTTCCACTGGTAGATACTAATTGCTGTCGCGTTTTCCTCGTCCATGTTCTCTAAGGATTCGTGTTGGCGCGTGCTTGCCTGTGACCGGGGGACTCCCTGATGAAAGCATTTGGGTACTACTGTTTTTTTTTTTTACCTTTTTTTTCTTGGTTTGCTTCACTGTGCTCTGCTGCGTTGCCGTTGTGCAAGTGAAGGTCCGGCCACTACGTTGCTTGTAAGGTTGCTCGTGTCTTGTACTCGTGGAAGTTGCCTCTGTTGTTTAGGACAAGAAGCGGTCTCGCGCATGACATGATTGCTCCATGGTCAACGGGACGCACATCGTCATTGGTACAACGATTGATGCAAAGCAATCCGCAGTATGTATGGTCATCCGAGTAACGTCAACGGCGAGCAATGCACGATGGTGAGCATCCTCCTTTCCCCCGCAATCGACCGCGTATGTATCCCCCTGTCAGGCGTTCTTGGGTTTCCAGGCCCCGTGGTGCATTCTTGCCGGCGGCGTGCTTGGCTTCCTTTTGAGCGACACCTTGGCATCTCTAGGGCAGGCGCCATTTTTCCCTATCGAGGGGTAGCTTTACCGTCCTCTCCCTGTTTCTCTTATCTTTTTTCTCTTCCTCTCTATGTGAGTGTTGCTTTTTGCTGAGGGTATCTCTGTTTTTTTCCGTCTTCGTCTCATCTCGAAGGATAGAGTGAAAGGAGGCACATTGTTGGTGCAGGGGAAGGGGGGGGGGGATTTAAGCCTCGGCCTCCCCGCACACGCTTTGAACTGGGATTTAGAGTGAATCTTTGCGCCGAGGGGGGCCGGCGTGCATGGGGTCTGTCTATTTTGGGGTGTGGGGTTGGAGACGACCGACCGCTGCTGGTGTTGTTTTACCTTGGTATACGTTTGTGGTTCATGAACGGTGGTGAACGGGATGCTGTAAGGTTGGTTATACATAGCCGGCCCCTTCAATCGGAGGTTCGTTGAGTTTTTTACTTCGCGATGCGTGTATGTAAGATGCTTCGTGCTTCTGCACAGCTTTCCTACGTGAAATGGTATTTACTGTATTAGGTGGTCTCAATTCCAGGAGGAACGGCTTTGCGAATTCTAACGCGAGGTTGTAACTTCCTTGTATCGAGACAAAACAAAGTTACACAAACTGCTCCACTGTTTCGTGTCTTTTCGTTGGTATACTGTAGATGTGACGGTGATAACTGGTACTCGGTGGGTAGCGGCCTTTTTTGGTTCACGCGCACTCACGTTTGGGTGTTGGATTTTCGGAGCGCGCGTGATCGTACAACCGACCAAGCAGAAGGGAAGGTAGTCACCGTATTTTATTTGGTTTAAGTAAAACATAAAATGCGCCCTCCCCAGTCATTATTGCCTTGGAATGATTTGGTGATGAGCTGGTGCACCACGCTATCCAGCCGTGTCTCTTTGCGGGAGTAGACTCGGTATTTTGAGAACACCGACTTGTTGTCGTTTTGCTGTGATGGTCTCTCTCCTCCTCTCTCTCCAAGAGCGCGCCGTTGCTATTGTTGTCGTCGTCTGTGTGTTGTGTTGTCTCTCGTTGGTATTGGAAAACGCCTCTTTGTCTTTCCCAAGCGAATGCTGAAGGGGAGGAACCCAAGCGCTAGTTCTCCGCCCCACGAGTCTTCTAGTGTAGGGACGGAGTTAGGGGAGGAACCCAAGCGCTAGTTCTCCGCCCCACGAGTCTTCTAGTGTAGGGACGGAGTTACTAGAAGGCACACGTATCATGCTTAGTTGGCTTGTGACCTCGGAAGGGGTCCACGTCAGTTGGACCGGTACGTAGAAAGGTACGGCTGAGCAGCAAACACGTTTTTTTTACAAGATGTGATGACAACAATAGAACAACATCTCATGACAGAAACACCGCCTGTTCGAGATAATTTATCGGAGGGGATGTGTTGAAGTCTTTGTATGTGAGAGCTTTGAGCTTATGGATTTACTGGGCTTTGTATGAGTCTGGTTTTTAGCCCTCACATTGAAAAGTGTTTTTACTCGAACGCCGTTTATGCAATGGGGCACTAGCTAACCCGAACACGAAATAAATGTTCCCTCAAGAGCTACTGCTGCTGTATCATTAGTCAAGGGCCACTGAAGCCCATCAGTGCAGAACAGGGTTTGGTCATGAGAACACTTTCGGCAGTATGCGACGCAAGTGTTGGGACACGAAAAGCAAAGAGACGTCCGGTCTAGCCACTGCTGCAGTCACCACGCCAACCTTCAGCCAAGGCTAGTGAGCAGATGGCAGGAGCACGTTGTTTTTCCTATGAAACTACAGGCTATGCTCTTCTAAGTTTAACAACAAGGGATGGTCACTTACGTTCAAGAAACGACACTACAATGATAGTCCATATCGGCACACGCAAGCACGCCTTTGGCAAGGTAAAAAACGGTTTCGTGCCTCAGGACCCGCCGCCACGAAAACCTCACTCACAGCAACACCTGTACCCACACATTGTCGACAGTAACCCCCCCCCTCCACCCCCTCCCTGCCCTACGCTGAACAACCAAGATCGATTCTTCGGCCATGTTGAGACATGAACGAACCTCCCGCTAAGACAACAACATTCCTTCCTTCGAGACAACAACAGCAGTGCCGCCTTTCGCATGTCGCAACTCTTCGCAATCGCCCGGACCACCAACCGGCACGACGTCTTGCCCCGAGACTTTCACGTCACGTCGGTGGGAGACCTCGTGTCTAACCCTCTAACCAATCGTCATCCTCCTTCTCGGCCTGATTCCGCGTCGCCCCCGCGCCCGCTGCCGCCGCTCCAACTTGTGATTTCCTCTCAGACGCACAGCGGTCAGTTCCATCCCCAAAACTTGTTCTCCCTCCGCCACCGCCAGCGCTACTACTCTCGCCACCATTTCCCCCCCCCGACCGACTCGCCGCATTGCCTTCCTCTATAACCCCTCCCCCTGATGTGCAGCAGGTCGAGGGCGGGGAGGGCGCAGCGGTATCGCGGGAGGGTGCCTGTGCCTGTGATGGTGGTGGTGGTGGTGCTGCTGCCTGTCTGTGAGCTTGTTCTTCTCGTCCGGACGGGTACGGGGAGAGCACCGGAGTGTGCTTGTTGCGCTCTGCGGTTCGTCGTCGTCGCTGATGTTGCCCCGGCAGCGGGTGTCCCTGCTGCTGCTGCAGCTGCTGCAGCTGCTGCTGTTGCTGCCGCGGCGGCGGCTGGTCTTGCTGCGGCGTCTCCCGACAGGGTGCGAAAGCCGAGCACACCTAGGCCACGGGTCAGAAGAACAGACGCAGGGGTACCACAAACAAGAAAGAGGAGAACAAACATGAAAACATCCCCCGGGTGCTAGGACGTTGGGCTGTTCGATTGGGCATTTCGCCCGACAGCGCGTTGGGTACTTCGTCCAAGTAGCACACCAACAGAGCCGACAGGGCATCAACGAGCTCATGTACTCGTGCAGAACACGCGCAGCAACCTAAGCCTCCTCAGTAAAAAAAAACATTGTTATTCCAATAGACTTCACCCCATCCAACACAAAAACCGCTGTTGGTTTCTTCACAACGGTAGGAAATAAGCCGCGAAAGATATTACCATGGTAGCCCATAACAAGACGTTCTCAACTAAGTGGTGGCGCAATCTTTGCTTGGGACGGTCGTGAGAGAGAAAAGTAGCAAAAATAGCAATATTGCAACAGCATTTCTTCACCATGGATTGCGTCCGGGAGTCGGGGAGCGGGGCCGCCAGCTCCTGCAGGAGGCTCAGGGGCACGTCCATCGCCCCGATGCACACGATGCAATCTTGCAGCTCCTTCGAGACACGAGAAGAAGTCACACGGCAGTACCGGCTGTAAGCTTGGGGCTGGAGGGGGAAATGGAGACAAAAATGGAGACAACAATGGCAACCCCCATTCACAGCTAAGCAGCATACGCCACAACAGCAGCAGCAGTCCAAGACATATCCACGTGCGCTTGTTTCGTCCACGATAGCGCCATCGCCAAAACAAAACAAAGGCCAAGGCAAACGATCGACTGCCCCACGCCCAAAACTGAATCCTTAGCTGCTGGAGCGTGGGCGCTTTCGTGTGCGCCCTCTTCGATGCGTAGGCGTAGCAATAGAACTACTGCGTTTCAGGGCACAGGCTACCCTCGCCAGAAGGAGAAGGACCCAGGTCGTGGCAGGACGGCATTCCCCCACTATCGGGGGCTGGCAGTTTTCTTTCTCTGAGATGTGACAACACACTTTTTCCGATCTGGGCTTCTTGTACCGATGGATGCCCTCTAATCCCTCTTCCCAACATCCCGGCTTCGAGGGAGGCGTTACTTACCGAGGGGTCGGAGGAGGCCCGCACGATGGACTGGAAATAGCGGCCCAATAACGTTCGCGCGTCGTCGTCCGCCTACAATGTACAACAGAAAAAGGAAGAAAGAATAGCACATGGGAAAGACGAGCGGTACTGCGCTCAGAAAACGCTGCACGCAGTCGCACTCCACTGAACAAAATATTACCTCGACCACAGCCAAAACCCACAACGATTGGCCATAATTAGGCCCAAGCACGCTTATCATGCATTGCGCGCTCTGCCTCCATCAAGGGGCGGGTGAGACAAGACGTCGCATGTACGACGTCGCACAAAGCAATAAAAACAAGGGGAAAAAACATGGTAGACACAACAGCCGTAGATAGGTCTTTATCGAGTGGATGTGCTGATATGCATGGGAAACATACATCTCCGCTCCTTCCAACGAGAGGTCGGGTTAGCTCCTACGGGTATGCGCAATGCTACTCGGTGCGGGGAGCATGACCATCCATGCGACACTCGCCTTCATGACGTGCGTCGTAAAGGACAGCTCGCTCTCCGGAGGGACGGGACCGTCGCCACCGCCCATGACGGCCGAAGGCTCCGCGTTCAAGGTCATCATGTTGCCGCCGTACCGCTCCACGACTAACGCGGACTCCTTGCCAGACTGCCCGGGAACAAGGTTAGGCGTAGAAGGGGGGGGTGGAACCAATCGGGTAGAGCGGCACAGGGAGTATGCATGTGAGAAGGGGTTGCAGCTGCAGTAAAACATGGCAAAAACAGGAGGCAGGCCCCACAGAGTACGTAGGTACTCCATAGGTGGGAGCCAAACCTCTACGCTTTCTGTGGGAGTGTCGTGGGGAGGCGAGAGACAGAGGAAACGACGGCAGGACATCAATTGTGCATGTCTCACGAGGAACCCCACAAGGCAAGAGAAAACATACCATGTACCCATCGAACGCCAACGTAGCGTCTGATCGCTTGCCACACTTCACCTCGTGATGGATGAAGACCAACTTGTACCGGGAAAACCCTCCATGGCAGCACTGCATGCACTATGTTCACGGAAGAAACGGTCAAACAGGACGGGGTCCAAAAGGGGGCAAGGAGGGAGAAAGGGCAGGGTTGGTGCCAAACGATGAGGGGCACGAGGAAACACGCGCGACAAGAGGGGGAGACTCAACGTTGAAAAAAGCGGCGGTTTGACTTGCGATCACTGGTGAAGGCATTGGTCTACAAATCGCCGTGCAAAGGAGCAACCGTTTAACATTTCGTCGCTCTTTCCTGCAGACCCGCCCCCGATTGTACGAAACATAAGGTCCAGGCGGCTGTAGGAGATGAATAAGAGAGGGATCTGAACCAGGGCGGGCCAGAGTCTTGACTAAAAAAGAACCGGGAACTTGAGGTGTGACCCTCGGGCGCTTCCTAGTCACACAGGGGAAGGTCACACAAGGTATATATTGTTTCTTTATTGCCCCACCTTTCTTCCTGCGTGCGTTTTGTGCCTTATTCTTTATCGCGACAAGGGTTAAGCCGTTAGAACGGTGAACCAAAGAATATAGCAGCTGAGGTGCAGCCTGTTCGTTACACGAGGACAACGTCATCCGACCGACCGACCGCTCATGCTTCAAGAGTCGCCGGAATCGAACTGCCACAGGCAAGCAACGGGGCACAACATATAGCATATTGGCACTACCGTAAGAGTCCGAGAGATGGCACCGGGGTGCGGAAAAAAAAACAAGAACGGCATGATTTAATTGTATTTCCGCACCGGGGTCAGCGAGATCGCACGCGGTGCGATGCCACCAACCCTCAAAACCCAAGATTGAGCTCTTTCTGAGCTTCCGTAAAGAGGTACATGTGAGCCCCTGTCACATGTGGCGACCGTGGCAGCGGAGAGCCCCTCCTTCATGTACGTATGTACGGTCGGCGCGGTTCACGCGGGATAGTCTGTTATTTTCACTTAATCGGTGTGGAAGTTGCAAAGCGTACACCACCCAAGTACACAACGTACAAGCCGTAACCTTACAAGCCGTAACCTACGCCCGCCTTAGGCAAGGGAATCTAAGGTGCTGCTGCTCGTGACTGGTATTCATTCGTAGAGGAAGACTGAAACAAAGCGGTGGACAACCTGGTAACGCATGTACCAGTACCCCAGATGGAAACCACACCAGTTCTTGTCCTTGTCAGGCCTTTGCCAAAACTCGCGTTTAAAACCCATCGCTGCATGGAGAGCTACCAGGTACCAGCCTGACGGTACGCCGCACACGTTCGTCTGCTTGTGAATACCTACGGGGAGATGGCACCCGGATGCGTGCAAACAACACCGCCGTAGCGCTAGTAAGGCCGCTGTGTGTACTTCATGGGCATCGCACTGGCTGGAGAGATCGCAACGGGGTGCCTCGAAAAATAAAATGAGATGGTTCATTTGCTTTTCCGGACCGGGGTCGGAGAGATCGCACCGGGGGGTGCGACGAAAAACACGAAGAAAAATCATTTTCAAAACGATCGAACCGGTGCCATCTCTCCGACTCTTACGGTAAGCTGCAACGTCTTTCGACCACAACCACCACTATCACCACTATCACCACTAACACTACCACCACAACAACGCCAACATCAGCTCTACTACGGCTCCCCCCCCCCGCCGCACATGTGCGGTGTGGTGGGACAGCAGTTTGCAAAACGAGCAGGCGTTGCTGAAGTTTGTTGTTGGCTATTCGAACGAGTCCAGGGATGCAATGGCTCTTGCTCAGTATCGACTACAGTCTACTCTATGTATCTACGGTTCACGTAATTTGCTTCTTTTGGCAAAGAGTAGCAGTCAAGGTAAGGTACAGCCAGGGGTTGAGAGCAAAGGGCACTACTATGCTACACACATGCATACAGGGAGAGTAGCAACGGAGACGGATCATGCAGCGGCAGGCAGATCTCGAGAGCCAGCCTGCACTGCTGTAAATATGTGCATTTTCACGAGGTAGCTGAGAAGAGGAGGGGAACCTACACAAACCAGGGAGGGCGAGACATACATAGCGCCACCTCCCACTCCTACGTACGGCACGGTAGGTGGGACAACAACTCTGCGCTGAAGCCTGAAACAAGCACTTGACTCACAGGGTCGACGGGGAGCTCGGTTCCCAGGACGCCGAGGGAGGCCGTGCAGCCGCCCCGCGCAGCGTAGGCGAAGTGCCCCTGAAACCACTCCACCCCGGGGGGCAAGCAGAACACCGCCCGCCCATGGACGAGGCCGCCAGAACCTCGGTGCCCCACAAACCTCTCTTCGCGATGAGCGTCGTCGTCATTGGATCCTGGTTGCGGAGGAATGCCCGTCGGGTGCCCTGCACCCGGAGGGCAGCAGCCGCCGCTGCCATTATTGCGATCTTGGGCCAGCGCCGTCGCAGCTCGCCTCCTCGACGACGCCGATATCCATTCGGCGGAGGGGAGCAAGGTGGATGACATCAAGTTCGACGGCAGAGTGTGTATGTGTCAGAGAGAGGGCACCAGGAGCAGGGGTAACAGAGAGCAGCACGACAAGCCTGTCTGTCGCAATCACGACAGGACAGCGTGGGGTGCCCTGCAGATAGGTGCCCATGGGGGGGGGGGGGGGTGGTAGGGAGCGGCGCAAACCTTGGCTGACACAAGCAAGACAATCACACCGCCTCTTCTTCCGTGTCTCTGCTCTCTGCTTCTGTCTCCCGTGTCTCTGGAGTGGCACAGCAGGCAGGGAGGCAAAGATGGCTAACAAGGCAACTACGGATGCCATCCAGCAAGACTGGAAGGAGAGAGAGATGATCGAGGTGGTTCATCTCAATATTCTCAAGGTCAGTCTTTACACCCACGAAAGGCATAGTAATTGCAAGTACTACAATATTTCTGGTTTTCCCCCACTCACTGAAAATACTCCACCACATCCCGTTCGACTGTGGGTATATCTCGAATGGGTAGTCTTTCTGTGTGTGTATTTATTATTCCTTATTTTCTCCCCCTTCTACAATACTGCTGCTGTACCATATGACATCATCCACCGTCGTGTGCAGGGTACTTCATTCATCTGCTACGCTTCCCGCACCGACCACGCCTGAGAGAAAATCCACACTTATTCCGTCCATGGTGGTGGCATGTGGTGGGTTCCACATGAGCACGTGTATGGAAATACCACGTAGCTGCAAGTTGTGCGCCTGTAAGGCAGCACCGGTCCGGCCCGCTCGCCAATATCGGGTCAGGCTCATGTTTTGTCGCCACTACTCCACTACTAGCTAATGTTGTCCAGCATAAGCTAGGATGAGCATATTTTTTCTCATCAGATCTTCCTGAGTTTTCTGTACTGCACAGACTAGATGGAGGCTGCAACTCAAACCCGGAACTGCACGAGCAGCGGAAGCGTGCTGCTCATAGGCTACTCTGTGTGACTCTTGCAAGCAATAAATCGTTTAGTAGCTTCTTCTTTTTTCATCATAGTCCTTCCGCCTACTCCGTATGCCCCACACTCGTATGGTGTAGGGACGTAGGGCATCTCCCAACTCTTCGCCAGTGCACTGCTTGCTGAAGCAACACGTGTTTCGCATCCCAACCGATCCGTCAAGGGTGCACTAAGAGCTTCAGGCGGTGCCAACAAGGGCGGGATATACCGCCGTGGTATCCGCTGCTCATCGTGGGAATGCCAGCCTCCAGCACCCATTGCCACCATGTCTCATCTCTCTGTGTCAACCCAATCGCAATGTTGACACTTGCAGATATAGTAGGACTACGCCGCTTGGTCTTGAGTGCTGGTCTTGAGTGCTGCACGCCAAACTAAACCAAACCGCCGTTTTTTCGTCTTCGAGTTTCTTGACTTCGTCGCCTTCATTGTCACTGGATGTGGATGCCAGCAGTTGTAAACCGCCCGCAAAGCCGAGCAACAACCTACAGCAGTGCAGCCGCAGCGGCGGTGATACACGGGCACAACAAGAGGCCCCGGTAAACGGCCGTGTGGCTGAGAGTTCGGTCTGTTTGTCATGATGCTGTCCAAGTAGGCGGGCTTGTCATCAAGCCTTTGTCTTTAGTTTGAAACGACGAGTTCTTCCCCATCAGATTCGCACGGCATGTACAGCAGTCGCGACGTCTGTCTACGTTTTCTTTTGGAGCGATCACCAAGTCGATCGCTTTGTCGCGCTGTCGATCGCCTCGTCGCGCCGACTGGTTCTCTTTTACCTCCCCCGCCCTTCCTTGTCATGAACGTATGCTCTTGCCACGGGACATCATTGAAATCCGCAAGTCTTCAACATTGTATCACCGCGTTCATGTAAGACCCCAAGCCCTGACTGCCTGTCTCGTACACACGCCACAGTTGTTTCAAGCCTGGTTCCGCTCGTCCTGTTCAAGGTGCGTGGTTACCGACCAGCCTCTCCCCCCCAAGTGCATCCCGTTTCCAAACGCTGGACCTCTTTTCCACACCTCACGGCCCAAAAGCTTCTGCTCGTCCTGCACAAGGCGCGTGGTTACCAACCCAACTAACTCCGCTCTCTTTCTTTCGTCCTACTGTACCGCCCACGGAACGAGCAACATCAGATCACCAAGTTCTTGAACGAGTTCGAGGTGTCCGTGCGCTACAAGCTTTCCACGCTGGCGGAGCGGGTGGGGTCGTTGGAGCGACATCTCGAGTACTGCGAAACCGCGGTCAAGGACAGGCAACAGCTGCAGCGGTTCGACTCGAGTTCGAGGGTCGACGGTGCTCATGGGAGATGATTTCGATGGGCTTGGCTTGGCTGGCTTTGTGCGTCGGCGCGCGTTTGAGTGCTGGTGGTTCTGTGGTTGACGAGTTTTAGGTTCTACCCTTAACGATTTAGACAAATGTTGCATCAGGAGCTTTGGCCGCCTGGCGCACGAACGGCACGCCATAGGTCGGCCATTCATTGTTTTCCAGAAGGGTCTGACGTATGTAGATTTTTTCATGATTTGTGTGTCGTGCATTGAAGGTTTTGTATTCTGGCGCGTTGTCCCTTAAGTCTGGTGTATTGAGTCGCTCGGAAAGCTACTGGCAGTGTTGCAACGGGGTTGAACAAGCGATGCGTTCTTATCAAGCTGGCGGCATGGTACTCCCGCGGCAAAGATTGAGAAGTACGTCGTGGAAGGCCGTATGCAGCTTAGGTGCTGAATTTGTACCCGTCCGTGCACCGCGAGCACTAGTCGTTTGTTGAACGTGGAACTTGTGAAGATGGATGCTCTCAGCTGTGGTTCTCTCCTAGCTTTCGAGTCTGCGACAACCATGGTAGGTGTTGTCGCAGCACCCTGCTGGCGTTTTTCTTCTCCTGCCGGATACGAGAACGGGTTTTCAGCGGGTCGGACGAAAAGCCTGAGGTCACCAAACTTCCCCGGTCATAAACGCTGTTTCGATTGGTATGTAGCACGTATATGTAGTTGTCGGCGCTTTGCCACCCTTTTGCTTTCTTTGCCGAACGCAACACAACGTGTTTTTTGTCCGTGTTTTCGTACATCGACCGGCGATAGCTGGTTGACTGACTGATCATTCTTTCGTGGAGTACCGGCCATGGGGCTGCATCAGGGGGATCTATGCTTAGCAGACTATGTAATTAACGTCGCTTCTCTAGCCTGTGTTGTAGAAGTACCGCTGGCGGTTGACTTTTCGCCACAAGCAACAACGGTTGTTCCTGTTTTTTTTTTCATGTCGCGCATCGTCTGTTTGAGCGGTTTGGGGTGTTGACTTGAACAGCCTTAGGTTCTTTTTATTCCGACCGAGCAAGTTTGTCGTTGTGTGTGTGTTTTGTTGGACTCCAATCTTCGCCGTTTCACCCACACTTGTGCATGGTAACAAAAAATACATTTGTACCAGCCGACGGCATCGGAAAGTATTCATCGCCGCCATCCCCGCCGCCGTCAACAAAATGTAGTATGTACGTCAGAACATTTGTCCATCCGCAAGTAAGTCGGTGGATCAAATAATGAGACAAAAATGACCGCGCACACACAGGAAGGGCTTGTCCAAGCAGCTGACACGACGACGCTTGCCCTTTCTCTAGCGAATGCCCACTGCTGAAGGACACTCCGTGTTTGTTGTAGTGGCTTTCGGTCCAACTTCTGGAGAGAGAAAACAGGGAATATTGCAATTGGAATATTGCTGCGGTAGTGGGCTCGCAGACCTCCTCCTCTTCTGCGAAATCCATTCATTTCGCGTCACCCCCTCCAGTTACGAACAGCAGCAGTGCTGTCACCAACACAGCAGCACGAGCAGTCCACGCTTCACCTGGCAGCTGCTGGCTTCACTCTTGCACCTTCCCCTTGTGCCTATCGTTTGTACTAGAGGCAGAGCAACTGCCACACCACCGACAAGCGAAGGATTGAGGTGAGGAGATGCTTCATTGAAGGTGCGGCTTGGTTACATTCGAGCTTCACAGCAGCACGTAACATCGTAGCAACAAAGGCGGGCGATCTACATATTCCAGACATATTCCGACTCTCTCGGCGCTCTGCTCATGTGCAGTTATGACTCTCCTCGATTGCCTCTGTCAATGCCTTCATGTTGCTGTCCCTCGTTCTGGGCGTTGGTAAACGCATCCAAAAGTGGACGACGGCTGTGTCGGCGTAAGGTTGAAGACGCTCAAAATTCTGCGCCGCATGTGGACCTATTTTGCTTACGCTGCTGTGACAATATCATGCATACCCCCCCCTGTTCGAGGGCTGATATGTCAGAACATGGAGGGTGAACAGCACCAGTGATGTAGTCAGCCAGCGCTCTGCCCGTCTTTGCGAATAGGCTGTAGCGAGGTGGGAATTGTCCCACATTGCTGGCTGTGCATATTCACTGCTGTTTGGTGGCGTGTTGCAATGACAGTTGACCCAGCTGATGGCCGAAAATCCGGTGGGGGCACGCCCGGTAAGGATAACCCTACAAAGGGAAAGCAAATACTTGTAAATAATTTGTTGGGACGTACATACATATTATAGTATACAGAGAGAGGGTTGTTAAGTGGGAAAACGACACAACAGGGTATACCCTGGTCAAAAAGCGACACACCTGGGTACACAGTCATTAACAGCAGTAAATGCACTCATATCATTGGTCAGCGCCCAATTTCACCCCGGTGCGTCCGAAAAGGCGCAGGGTATACCCTGCCGTGACTACTTTTCTCAGCAACTGTACCCTGTTTTCGGAAATGTACCCTGACCTGACGGGAAAAGAGACCCTTTCATCAATCATTTCCCCCGCAGGAATCTTCCCAACTCCTTTTCCCCTCCAACCATGGGATACCAAACGGCGAATCTTCCCGCCGAATAACAACCATGGCAACGGGGCAGGAATCAGTTTCCGCCCCTGCGAAACAACACCAACCATCAACTCTTCCGCTCGAAATCAACAATGGCCGGGCAACACCCCAGCACAATTGCTCCGTTTGGAAACATGCACACACGCGTACAATACCCCGTGGACTACTGCTTGCTGCAGTCTATGTGCGAGATGCACGGGTCACGCTATGAAAGCAAGACCGATTCAGCATGGTTGACATGCATATGCATTTGTGCGGGCGTGTGTTGTCGGTTGTGTCTCAATTGCGATGTGCCGTGTGTGCGTGCGTGTGTTGTCTGTTGTGTCTCAATTGCGATGTGTTTCTTGCTTGAACTACTGCTGTAGCAGCAGCGGTCACGCTTACCAGCCAACCAAGCCGACCAATCAATCAATGTAGTAAGAAGACGTCAGGCTTCAGCGGGATGAGCCGATGAAATTCAACGCGAGCACTCTTCTTTCTATCGACAGGGAGGGTGATTGGGTTGGACGACACAGCAGTGTCCTGCTGCTAGAGTAAGGATAAGACTCGTGTGTGCGTGATTGATGTCAAGGGCATGTCTGTGCGTGCTGGTCCTGCCTCTCCTGCGGGCGCGAGCTCGCCGCCAGCACAGCGCCACACATTGGCACATGCATATATATCCATGTCAACCATGCTGAATCGGTCCGCTTTCATACCGTGACCCGTGCATCTCGCACATAGACTGCAGCAAGCAGTAGTCCACGGGGTATTGTACGCGTGTGTGCATGTTTCCAAACGGAGCAATTGTGCTGGGGTGTTGCCCGGCCATTGTTGATTTCGAGCGGAAGAGTTGATGGTTGGTGTTGTTTCGCAGGGGCGGAAACTGATTCCTGCCCCGTTGCCATGGTTGTTATTCGGCGGGAAGATTCGCCGTTTGGTATCCCATGGTTGGAGGGGAAAAGGAGTTGGGAAGATTCCTGCGGGGGAAATGATTGATGAAAGGGTCTCTTTTCCCGTCAGGTCGGGGTACATTTCCGAAAACAGGGTACAGTTGCTGAGAAAAGTAGTCACGGCAGGGTATACCCTGCGCCTTTTCGGACGCACCGGGGTGAAATTGGGCGCTGACCAATGATATGAGTGCATTTACTGCTGTTAATGACTGTGTACCCAGGTGTGTCGCTTTTCGACCAGGGTATACCCTGTTGTGTCGTTTTCCCTTGTTAAGTCACTCAGGAGCAAAGCGGGCTTCACCCATGTGAGGTATTCGTTCATCGACGAGGCCTTGCGAAAGAGCAGTCAGGGTCTGCTGGGTCACGCGCGCGGTGGGGGCACGCCAGGGGGAAGGTAACCTCGATGAAAGTCGAGACAGAAAGGGCATGGTCACCCAGGAGCGAGCCGGCTTCACCCACGTGTAGATTTGTTTGTATTAGGAAAAGTAAATGCAACACAGAGAGACTACAACCCGTTCGAGATACATAGATGTTCAATCATCGACGCTAACGATGAACATCTACACTTGGGTGAAGCCGGCTTGCTTCTGATGGACCATGCCCTCTCTCTCTTGACTTTCCTCGGGGTTACCCTCTGGGGTGTCCCCACCCAGTAGCCCCCTGGTTTGGTCGTTCGTATTAAGCTTTGAAGCGTGCAACACCATAGAGCGGGTCTGCGTTTCGTTGTCCACTTTTTTTTCCCCACAGCAGCGCCACACCTGTGTTCATGTTCGTTCATCGACGAGACACTTAACCCTTGAGCCGCGGGGGAAGGTAAGTGAAGAGAAGGGTAAGGTCACCCAGAACTTCCCCCGTTTCAACCACGTAGGTGTTCGTTCACCGACGACAAGTCTCGACGAACACCCACACGTCGTTGTAGCTCGGTTTCGTGTGGGTGACCTTAGAACCCGTTCTCTTCCCTGCTGTCTGTCCTCACGGTTTACTTCCCTGGCGTGTCCCCGACCACGAGCGTGAGACCCAGCAGCCCCTGACGGTTCGTTCGCAAGTATAAGTATCGAGACAAGCAACAACACCGGCAAAGTGGCAGCCATTGTGTTTGTTTGCCACTTTTTTCTTCTTTTTTTTTCCCCACAGCGCCACCCTCTGGTACTACGTATCATGCCCCCTTGTCCTTATTCTCAGACCCAGGGGCACCCGGTGGGCAGCTAAATAGAACCACCACGTGGTCATCGACGGTATCTCCAACTTGGTTTGATTTGATATCGAAGCTTTGTAGCATACGCCATGGATATTTGTAGTTACATGTTACATGACGCCAATCTACGTTGTAGCGCGCGCGTGTAGTGACTGTTCGGTCAGTCAACATGTGGTGTAGGTGACGATGCAGCCGATATCGCGTGATTGGCTTAACGAAAGTTGGGGGTGCAAATTACGCCGGCTGGAACGAACCCATCCATGTGTGTGTGCGTATTTGTTTTTTTTCAAAATAGCCTTTGGAGTAGAAAAATGTTAGTCGTCTTCAGGTTACGACCGATGTCACGAGATCCGTCGCCGCCGAGGCCTTCAGAAAATCTACCTTTCTCTTGGGGTCTTGGGCGGTAGGGGGGGGGGGGGGGGGACTCCTAACCGTGCAGTGCCGTAATCGTTTGGCCATTGACCTCCCATCCCTACAAAGCCGGGACGGAACACGCCGGGTTCTCACCGGACCAGGCTCTCACATCACCAAGCGCGAAGCGCCGTGAGGTATTTGGCGAGTCGCATGAAGGGTGAGCTGCATCCTGTTAAGGGTGTTGGACATCTTGTGCTTACTTCCTTGCGTACGGATGACAGCTGCGTATGACTTAATTTATTTTCTGGTGCTTTCACTTCCAGAGACAGTTGTAAGCACTGTGTAACTGCCTCGAGGAAGCTTGACCATTTTAACACAACGTGGTGCGATCATCCCCCGTTGCGCGGAGTGAGGTTTCTCGACCCCGCACAACATGAGCTACTCGACCACCATTATGGTTACCGCCAAAAAAAAAACCAGAGGTTAAAAAAAAGACGGTAACCTGGTTGCCGAGTTCACGAAGTGAATTGACTTGTTTTACAACGTCGTTGCCAATCGACGAAAACCCAATCCCGATGGCAAACACCGAGTGGGGGGCTTGTTTTACAACGTCGTTGCCAAGCGACGAAAACCCAAACCCCGATGGCAAACACCGGGGGGGGGGGGGG